AATATAAGAACGCTTGATCTTTTGAACTATTTTAGACATTTTTAAAGATATAAGCTCACCCCGACATTACACTCATCGAGACCTTTCATTTGAGTACCCACATCATTTTTTCATATATTTATATATATATATGTATATATAAAAAATATATGAAAATGCATGTGGGTACTCAAATGAAAGCTCTTGATGAGTGTAACATCGGGATGAGTTTATATTTTTAAAAACGTCAATAGTTAAGAAAGTACAGTGCAATTTATCAAAATTCATTATCTAATAAAGCAAAATTTTAATTTTTTTATAGTTCACTAGTCACGGCAGTCACATAGTGACTGCAAGGTTGCTTATAACTTATTCATTTAATAATAAAAAAGGACAAAGTTGATTGTTTTTTCAAATTACCATGACAAGTGTAAGGACTAGGTGGTATAATATCTCTTTTGCTCTGATAAACTCTTCCGGATTTAAATTTAGATCCTCGATTGTCTTCTTCAGATCCACTGGGACAACTTGAAGAATAAACATTTTCTCTAGCAGCAGAGAGTCTTGCTGCAACACTTTTTTTCGACGGCTGAGATTGCGGTTGATTTTGTTGCTGACTCGACTGTTGTTTGCGTTTTTTCTCTCCCGAAGATATTTGCTGCAACTCATAAATAACAGCATCACCCAAGGTTAGTTGCTGAGCTGCTCGCGCGGCAGCTGAATCTGTAAACTCTATCAAGGCGCATTCATCATCAGTTCCAAGCTCGGGCCTCTTTGAAATAGCTTGACGCACCTAGTAAAAAATCCAATAATTAAACAAATAAATAAATAGAATTAAATTAAATTAAATAAAATAAAAAACATTTAAATCTTCTTACTTCTGCAGGAACTGGATGCCCTGGTCTCAATATCCGGATAAGAGCGATTTCACCAAACTGCCTGAACAATTCAGCGACCGACTCAATGGTCAATTTTTCAAGCGGAAGTTTCGCGGCAATAACTGTCCTAGATGGCAAAGTTTGATCATACTGCGGCAGAGGATCTCGACGTCTAAGCTTGGTACCTAAATCATTAACTTGCAATTTAGTAGACTTAGCTCTTAAAGCAGCTCCAACAACTCTCCAATCTCGGCTCAAATGCTTAACACGTTTAAAACTGGATATTAATTTTAATGATACGTATCCTTCTTTATTTCTTTTAACGTGTTTTAGTAAAAATGCATCCTTAACAATATTTTCATCAGAGAAGTAAAATTCTACTTGAGCGGCTATTTTTTCAGCCAGATCATCGCTGCAAATTGGAGGAACATCATCTTCTTGTTGATCAGAAGAACTAAGAGGATTTAATGCAGTTGTTTCATCGCCGCTTTTTGAGTGATAGCCATCTGATTCTTCTTTAGAGCTATCATCTATATTTTTTTCTACATTATTATCAACACATATTTCTTCCGGCTGTAATTTAATATTTTCCGCAACATTGTTAACTGTAGACGACGTTGCAACTGGAGAAACACGATCAGGTTCATCAATACTGCTGCCAAAATCTGAAAAATCAGCTTCTTCACTTTTGGAGCCTCGCCTATCAAAAGACAAACTGACATCGCTGTCAATGGAAGAAATACTATCCCGAGTATCAGATTTTCTCATTGGTGCCGGTGAACACAGACTGCCGACCTCGTCTAATGATTCTTGTTGAATATCTAACTGGTCATCCATTTTATTAAGTATATATTTTTATTTATTAATCTTATTACCTAATTAATGTTAGTAGTTATTTAAACCACAGCACTTCACCTTTTCATTGTTGCTATTTATTTATTAACCATATCACTCTTTAATTATTTTACAATAATTAAATTATAATATTTACAGGGAAATAATAATTCACTACTAAATAATTACCCCTGCAGTGAAGAAATGCTACTGAGCAATAAAAAGAATTTAAATGGGCGAAAAATTTAGCACGATCACCGTGACAGCCAAGACAAGAGTGGCCTTCTAAGTTTAAGTGCCGCAACTTATTTAAATACTTTCCCCGGCGCCCGCGTTCGCGCACGCGCGATACTTGGATAAAAATTGTTCTTCCAAAGAATTGTAAGTATATAAGTACATCAATATCAATACATTTTTCACCTACCTGTGAGAGTTAAGATACAACTACATCGCTACCTATCATTGGACACCATTTGTAAACATCCTCCCGATCGTGGCCCTCACCATCGCTCTTGCAGGGACGCGACAGGACCTCGCCAGCGATTATGACCTTCCGGAATCTTGCTGGTCAAGAGTTAGACGACATAAATCAACCAATATGTATATATTTATATATTTATTTATTTATTTACTTACTGAGTTGTTATAATACAGGATATATTAAACAATCATCGGGAAAAAGATTAAGCAGAAATTCAAGGACTCTTGATTAAGGATTATATTCATTTGTAAGTCCAAAAAAACATGAAAATTAATTTCGCCATCTAAAAATTTTTAGAATTTTTTTTTATTGAAAAAATGATTAAAAAAAATTTTTTTAAAATTTAATTTTTAAAAAACTTTAAGTGTAATTTGTTCGTTCTAATTTAATGAATGAAAAAAAAAAAATGAAAATTAAGTTAGCTGACATTTCAAAATTTTTAGAAATTTTTTTATCCAAAAAATTTCAATTTAACAATTAAAAAAAAATATCACTTGTTAAAAACTTGAAAAACTATAAGTGCAATTTCTTAAAAATATCTTTTTAGTTGTAATTTAATTAAAAAAAAAAAAAAATCATAAAATTAAAAACGTCGGCTAACTTTAGTATTGTCAAAAAAACGTGTTTTTTTTGTGAAGAGGCTTTTTTATTAAATAAATACATAGAATAAATGTACATTAAGCAAATTTAATGTATTTTAAGAATTCGAGATATATTTACAAAAATATTGGGTTGGTCCTGTGATAGATCTCCTAAAGAACCTCTATAAAAAGGTGCCTGGCGGTGAGGAAGATATCTCTGATTCAAATTATTAGAAATAAAAAAAACCAAAAGATTCATTTTTACAATTTTATTTAATAGTCATGAAATTTTATTACTATTTAATAAAACGTTTATTTGGCTAATCCCAAATAAAAATTTATTAAATATTAATAAAATTTCCTTAAATACTAGCAAAAATTTTCTTAAATACTAATATATGTTTTATTAAATACTAATAAAAAAATTTCCTTAAATACTAGCAAAAATTTTCTTAAATACTAATATATGTTTTATTAAATACTAATAAAATTTTATTAAATACTTATAAATTTTTCTTAGTATGTAAAAGATGTTGTCTGTCATAAAGACAACATAAAAGTCGGGAGTAAAGAAATAGATTAGGGTAGGATGTCTCGTTGAAAAATCTTAATATTATTTATTAAAAGATATTACTGTGAAAATATATTTGACCATATATAATTAATACAAATTTAATTTTTATATGCTTATATACCTTAATAAATTAAATTGATCAATATTAATTTTTTTTTGAGATTATTTGCATACCGTCAAATTTTTGGAACAATTACAACTTACGCGTATTAATGACAGCAAACGAAAGCGACGCTCGTAGTTATTTTAATAAACACATATTAGTATTTAAGAAAATTTTATTAAATACTAATAAAATTTTATTTATGAAATATAATTTTATTAATATTAACTAAGTTTTTTTTTCAAGTCCAAATAAACTTTTTTATTACTATTAAATAAAATCTATAGGATAGATGAATACAAGTAATGATCGATGGAATGTCAAAATTTTGATTTTTAGCAAATTGGCGGCTTCCCGAAGAAAAAAAAATCATTTTTTTAAGAAAAATGAAGTTAGCTGACATTTCAAAATTTTTAGAAATTTTTTATCGAAAAAATTTCAATTAAACAATTAAAAAAAAAAATATCACATGTTAAAAACTTGAAAAACTATAAGTGCAATTTTTTATAAATATCTTTTTAGTTGTAATTTAATTAAAAAAAAAAAAAAAAAAAAAAAAAATCAAAAATTTTTAGACGTCTGTTAACTTCAGTGTCATTTTTTTTAAGAAAATTTACACTTTAAAGTCGCTAAGAATTAGACGACATAAATCAACCAATATGTATATATTTATTTATTTATTTATTTACTTAGTGAGTTGTTATAATACAGGATATATTAAACAATCATCGGGAAAAAGATTACGCAGAAATTCAAGGACTATTGATTAATAGCAATTGCAAGTACTATTATAATTTATAAAACAATTTAAATTATATTAACAAAATAAATTATTTTTGATTCACTTAATATTTAAGAGTTGAATGATAGGAAAAAATTAACCCAAGTACGTGACCTCCAAAGCTACCCGACGCTCTTATAGTATCTCTCCGCGTTTCGTGTCGCATCCGGACGCTGTAAGCATAATAAGATATGGGTCAAGTGCAGCTGGTATCGTGTAAGGAGTCACTATACTACTAGGTAATTGTAAGTGTGTGTGTGTCAAACGATTGTCTGACTATAAGTTACATTTCTTCTTTATATTTCTTCCACGTGTCAATCATTCATTCAGTCAAAATAAAATATCTTCTCGGCATATATTCGAAAATTATTTTTATAATATCAAGGATCAATTCGTTAATTAACATAATTTTATAGATGTTCATAAAATTTATATTTTATTACTTTTTGTTTTTTTTTTTTAAATAATCATAATGCATTTCCGTATCCTTTTCATTCAAGTTGAACCGGACAATAAAATACTAGCGGTTAATTAATTAACTTCAAATTGACAGATTAAGAGAATACACTTTTAAGATTGATCTTTGAATGTTTTTTTTTTTACTTTAATTGAACCTTAATAATTAATGTGTTTGAATTCTACAAAATTTTAATTAATAATTGATAAATATATGCTGTAAAAAATTTTTATGTGAACTCGGTAAGTTAAAAATTTATAATACTAAAGTTAGCCGACGTTTTTAATTTTTTTTTTTATTAAATTAGAACTAAAAAATATTTTTAAAAAATTGCACTGATAGTTTTTAAAATTTTTTACAAATGAAATTTTTTTTTTTCATTTTTTTGTAATAATTTTTTCAATAAAAAAAAA